AGCAGTGAACAAGGAATGAACTGACTACTGCTCAGAAGCAACCCTTCTTAAAGGCCCCTAATTGGAGCCAGAATAGGATGCAGCTGTCAACAGTGGGTGGAGCTACAATCACCATGTCATAGGTTTTCCAACATGTACCGTGAAACCGGTATAATTTTGAAAAATACCGTGATATAAATTTTTGGTCATACCGCCCAGCAGGGATGGGCAGTATTTCAGATACATATATGTAAAATACGTATTTGAAATACAAAATACTATTTTGTATTTTAAAGCCTTCGGCAAAAATCTAATGTAATTTGTATTTAAATACATTTAAGATTAGTATTTTTGTATTTTCAAAATACGTAAAATACTTTGTGCCAGTCAACCTCTTTATCAGGGTGCTGATTTAGTTCAGACACACCCCCTCCCCCCAACTCCAACATTCATCACGTGAGCTGCAGCTGTACAACTCCATTCAGCATTGGGTGAGTGACTTTTTTGGAATAAGATAAGGTGAGGATGTCATGGTCAATTGTACATGTTGATTAAAGTTAAAATAGTGCATCATTCAGATTTGCCGTCAGTTAACATGAAAGAATAAAAGAGCACTGACAAGGGGAAAAATAGCGTTAGCCAATCAGTTTTAATAGTTAATCGGTTGTCAAATGTGTTTAAAGCATTACTGCATGTTAGGGCTGGGTGATATGACAATACATATCGTTGTCATTGAGTCAGTGTTGCTGATGCAAAGTAGGCCCTTTGTTACCAAACACCATGTAACTAAATTAGGATACAATTATGAGTCATTCGCAAATGTTAAACATTAAACTGTTGGTTACTTTAAAACTAACCTTAATCTGGGAGATCACAGTGATATATGAATATTTGATCTGTTAACTGGTTGCATATCATATGTCAGATGTATTGCATGACTCGGGCAGAGAAAAGCTGTTGCTATCAAACAGTGTTCACTTGTTCACAAACATCAGTGTATTGGTAATAGGCCAATTGATGGAAGGTTTGTGAAGAAATTTCATGCTCCCTTGTAAAAGTATTTTTTAGTATTTTTAAAATACAAAAATACTGTAGTTTATTTTGATACTTGGTGTAGCTGCTGTATTTTGTAGTTTATTTTGATACACTTCAAATTAAGATATTTGGTATTTTATTTTAAAATACATTTTGATGTATCTTTGCCCAACCCTGCCGCCCAGCACTACTCCGCTATGAAACCACAACCACAGCTTTCTTTCTGACTTGTTTATGGACCATGGCACACATCTGTGCTTTATTTTTTTAATGTTTTCAGTACATCAGTTTAGTTTGTGGTCATTTAAATGGAAACTCACAAGGAGGTCTTTGTGACCACACACACCACAGGCTTACCCCCTGACCTTTTTAAACACAGCATTTTCCAGTACCACATAAAAACAATCGCTGCTCAAATGTTTCTGAAATCAGATTAAAAATGTCTGCTAATTTATCTAATAAATCATGTATCAGTAGTCTGAGTTTGGTTCAATCATATTTTAACACTTTTTTTTTACTGTTACTTGTTATGTGAAACTGTGAAAGCTCATACAGTAAAAATCTGTAAAAAAAAAAACAATTGGACTGTCAAACTGTATTGCAACGTTTTCAAGCAAAAGTGTGTTTATGAATTTTATGAAGTTATATGGTTAAATTGAAGCTTGTGTAAATGTGAGGGAAATGTTATTATAATAGGTATTCTTTGCTTTACTAAAGAGTGTTCTTTAAACTGTCTAAATGGTTCATCAGTATGCTTGAGTTATTTTGATGTGCTAAAAGAACAACAGGAAGTGAAATGTGTGAAATATATGTGTTGCTGAGAGGGATATAAATACTGAGTCAAGGTGTTACTTCTTTTGTCACACTCTGCTGCCGACTTTGAATGACTGTATGACCATTTTCTTGCAAAAAAAAAACATTTTCAAAAGACTTTTGTCTCATACCTTCATTGAAATGGAAAATTGCCACAACAGTAAACAATAAATGAAAACTGAAATTGTTTTACTTATCAAAATGTCATTAAAACAACTATTTAATGATCAATCAGCTATTTCATGAAT